AGCTGACATATCCCTTCTCTCCTCTCCTCCTCCCATATCTTTGGGAAATAAAGAGCAACTGTTTCCAAATTCTCAAAAATAGCATGTAATAGCGTGTCGTATACTAGAAATGTCCATAATCCAGTAATCTGTCATATTTTACATTAGAACGGATTTAACTAGAAAGTCTACAATCTCATCTTTTCATCAACTCTTAATTTTTTGTGTCCTGCTCTCAGCCAGTTTCCTCTTATATCAGTAATGAAAAATTATAAATACTCACAATGAGTTGGAAAACTTTTTGGTGACTGACTTTTATTTCTGTCAGGTTTAAGTGACAAAAGTTGGAAAAAGACAGATTCTCTTGCCGTTTAAAAAATCAACACAAAACGGCTTCAAAAGGGCCTCGTCTATTTATTTATTTGTTTTAAAATTTTGTAAACAGCTGCTGATTAAACTGGATGTTACAACATTGACATCATTATAGGAGTTGTTTTAGCGAGAAATCGATCAGAAGCGCAGTAAAAATGGTCACATGTCCACCTGTCTGGCTTAAATGCATGCTCCTGACACAGGGAAACAGAATTTCATACAACACCAGGAGAAAGAACGGCTGGAAGTCAGTCAGAGCTTCACATACATGGGACATCAGTCAGTGTAGCAACAGCTAGTGGTGAAAACTTCTTCTTCTGCATGGGAATGCATGCTGCCACTATCTGGTGAATTGCAGTACTGCACATCTTTGCTCAGATCAGCTCAGAAGCTAGATCCGCGGGCTCTTGGGGAAACATGCGGGGGTGTAGCCCAAGTAACGGCCCCCTAGATCCGCCACTATTATTAATCTGAAAAACAAGCAGATAGAGATGTAAGAAGCAGGATTAGGATTAAAAAAACTAACCCAGGCTATAAACTTCTCACAGACCTGCTCCTAGGGAGAATATCACTCATCAGAATCTCACTGAAGCTTAGAAAGAGCAAAGAGAAAAAAGACAAGAGGATCAAGGAGACTCTGAAGGAGCTGAACAGGTCTACAGTTCAGGGGGAGGAATTTGTTTAAAGCACAATAATTATAATAGTAATGCAGCTTATAAAACCTGACCTTTAATGTGGGGCACCAATAAAGAAAAACCTAAAAAGTCAAATTTTTAGTTTGCTAAAGGTGCAAAGGGGAGAATGCAATCATGTTATGACAATATAGTTGCTTTGGTCGACACGCAAAACTATATGTGGCAGAAAGTCAACTGTATATCAAAGCAGGCTCAGTGAAACATGGTGCTTCTTCAGCAGTGACAGATGGAGACATAAAAGTAAGAAATGATCACAATTTAAATCACATTTGTGCTCACAAAATAGGAATTTTATTTTCTTCCTTTGACCTTAATGGGGGATTTTTATGTTTTTACTCCCTTTTCCTAAATATGTGTGTATATATACATGGGGTTGGGTTGTATGGACCAAATATATAACTTAAAGAAATATGTTCCTTTCTTTTCATAAAGGCCTCAAACTTCTGTGCCTGTCGTTAAAGGAGGGTCATTTATTAACAAGCAGCTGTAGATCTACATGAGTAAGTCAGATTACCTACTGGGATATTTTATAATTAGTAATGGTCATCTTCAAATAAACTAGAATATAAAACAAAAAACACAACTGTGCAATTAAAATGTAAACAGATAAGATGCAGAGCAAATGTAACAAAAGGTTGACTTGCTCTTTGCAAATTGTTTTCACTGAAGCACAGTTCAAATGTGCTTGTTCCTGTGCTCCTAAACCAACATATGATCCTTTGGACAAGTGACTGAATATGTAAATCGACTGGATTGAATTAACTGAATTCCCTCCTTCTGAAGGTGTTTAGTTTAGTCTAAAATAAGGAAAAAAATGGTAATAAAATGCACTCTGTCAGCAGTTTCTGGTTTTAGTAATTTCCTCTAGCAGGTTGCCAGGTTCTAATTGCAACTGAAAAATCCATCCAGCATCGCTCTCTGCACCAGGGGTCTGCAAGTGGCTTTTTAAAATATCTAAAATGGCTCTTAATTAGGGATGGAACGGTTTATGAAAACCGTCCGAATCTGTCCGATTCGCGTGTGTTGCATTCGGTTCATGCGCCGCTCCTTTTTCTCATAGGCGAAGCGTTTACACTCCAGAGCAGAAGGTGGCGGTACTGCGACCAAAGCCAACCACTAGTAGTAAACAAGAAGAAGAAGAAGCGAAGCAGCTTAGCCGGGTGTAGCAGGGAAAAAAATCAGTTGATGTGGAGAATTGTGTCAGAATGGCGAGTGGGAAAGAACAGGAGTTGGAAGACACGCCAGCAGCACTTTATAGGTCTGCTGTATGGGAGCGCTTTGCATTTAGAGTGATCTACGATGACGGCGGAAAGAAAGTTATGGATAAAAGTGCAACAGTGTGCAAGCATTGTGCAACACGTGTTGTTTATGCTAAACGCAAAACATGACCATAATAGATTTTCCTAACAATCAACATATACCGAACCGAACCGAAAACCGTGAGCACGAAACCGTGAGCCGAACCGAACCGTGGATTTTGTGAACCGTTCCACCCCTACTCTTAATAGAGGCTTAAAATGATAAAGAACCAATGTTATTCAATCACAAATACCAACCTTAACACTTTAGTATTTTTTTTTTAACTATTCGATAGAATTTTTATAACAGAATTACATTAAAAGAATCAAAAATGTGTTTTCAGATCTAGTTTCCTTCTCATTAACTGTTTACATCTAATAATTCCCAATAGAAGAAATTCCATGCTTCACCTTAATGAAACATTCAGTGCGTTTTACTTATTTTAAAAGTTAAACATTTTGCAGATGTTTACCAAAAATGAATATTTGTTTTATTTAAAAGGTTATGTAATATTTGCAGCTCTAAACTATTTAGACTACTTATTAGCCAAACTCGGGGCAAAATGTCTCTTGGCATTTTAAGGGTTGGAGACTCTTACTCTACACAAACAGACAGTAGGTCGCTAGGAAGTAAATTTCTGTTTCCACTCTTTGAGAGTGGTGCTGAGGAAAGCACTTCACTGTGAGCTTTTGTTTTTAGTTTTCCAGCTGCTGCTGCTGCTGACTGGTCTGCCGATAAATCCACATTTTGTCACTAGGGATGTATTTGGCTTTAAGCTGTGGATCCTCAAAAGAAGCAATGCGAGATCACTGGTAGATGGATCCGTTAAAATGTATCATTGAGGTAATCCACAATGGTTGCATTGATGGATTTGTACAGCTCACCACCCCTTTTATAGATGCCTGGAACTTAGTGCTAAACATAAAGAATAGAATAGAAAATCCCTTTATTGTCCAACAATGAGAAAATTCTGGTGTTTACAGCAGCAGAAAAAAAGATTATACATAAAACGGTCACACAAATTTGGACCTATGAAAAATGTATAAGAATAACATAATAGTGAAGATTGAAAACAATAAAATACTGCACTTTTGAACTGTTTTAACAATATAAATACTGTGCATCTGGAGAATAAATAACCAATATACAGCTATGGAAATTTGTTTACAGTAATGCATATTTGAAAAATAGCAGAATCAGAGATGTGCAACATGACAGAAGCATGTTATTTAACTGATTAAGATAGAAACTGTATGAATGTAACAATTTATTGAGGTTTTTGGGATCAGTGGTGGTTATAGAGTTTTACAGCTGCTAGGAGGAAGGATCTGTGATAACGCTCCCTGGTGCATTTAAGGTGCAGCAGTCTGTCACTGAAGGAGCTCTCCAGTTCTGCAACAGCTTCAAGCATGGGGTGGGAGACAATGTCCAACACAGATGTTAATTTAGTTAGGATCCTTTTGTTTCCCACCTTCTGCACTGAGTCCAGGGGGCATTCAGTCACAGAGCTGGTCTTCCTGATCAGTTGGCTAGCTGCATTCTCTCAGCTACAGATAAGCCACTGCTCCAACAGACAGCTAAATAGAGTGGCTTATCTGTAGATGAGAAACAAAAGATGTTCTGTAAGAGACGACGCAATCATTGACAGTGTTCACCTTCTTCCTCCCTTTTCAGGTGTTCTTCCTGGACATTTCCCAGGGGCGATCAGCATACCCTTTAAATCTTTCCTGGATTCCTCTGGAAAGTATCACAGCACTGATACCTTAGCCAAACTCTTCAAGGAGGCTGGAGTGGATGTGGAGAAACCGCTCTGGGCTTCCTGTAGTTTGGGAATCACAGCGTGCCATGTCATTCTGGCTGCTCACCGGCTTGGACTCTCTGATGTGGCTCTGTATGATGGATCCTGGACAGAATTCTTTCAAAGAGCCCCTCCAGAGTACATCATTTCAGAGGGGGCTGGAAAGAAGGTTTGATGTTTTCCTGGCTTCCCCCTGGACTATACAAACAAGCGAGCCTTTAACAGAATGGTTTTATTTTTTAATCTAATATAGCTCTATTTAAATGATGGGATTGGAACTTTTTAATGAATGTTAACAGTAAATGAATCATTTGTTTCTCAGTTTCATTTAACAGTGAGGGTGATTCTATATCTTTTTCTCTACAGCTATAAAAATATCTTGTTTCAATGGATCTGAACATTGAGTCTTACACTAAATTACAGTATTATTGAAGTTAATTTATTTCAGTAACTTAGTTCTCTAAGTTAAAATATAGATTAATTACAGTGTTATTTTTTCATTACTTGATTTCTATAACCGATATTTTTGCACTTACAGCTGAAAATGTGAAATTTAAACTACAATATTAAACGGAGAAATAAAATCAGCAATTCAATACAGAAATGTGGCAATAATGAAAACTATGTTAGAACCTGCTTACTTATTTGGAAAGCGAACTTTAATAAAAAAAAATGCAGGTTTTTCTAACATCTGTTTTCAGTTGCCTATAATGCAGCTCTGTCAGGAGTCTTTTTCTGTGCCTTTTATATGAGCCTCCTAATTCACTATGGAGTATTCTTTAATTATATAATAAAAAGTGTTTTATAGCTTTTTGATTATAGGATGAAATCTATATTTCTAAAGGTGCTGTGTTCTGCTGGAACAAATGTAAGCAGATCAAAATGAATAGGAATCATGGTGGGATGAAGAAAACCAGCATATAAGCTTGATAACTACATGGAAATGAGATGCATTTTAAGGGTTCTGTTGATAAACCACTTCATCAAGGTTATTGTAATTTTAAATTGTATTTAATTCAATAAATACATTGATATCATTAAAGTTTTTAACTTGAATGTTTTTTTTTTTTTCTTGTCCAGCACAATTACTTGAAGGACTTAAGTCATTTCTTTGCCAATTGCAAGTAAGTCTGAAGACTAAAAAGTCCTAGTCCAGTGATTTAAAATTTAAGTCAACACGTCATATTTATCTATCCTTGAAACATTACTTATTTTAAGGAAAGAAATTATTCTGATTGATGTTTGTTTTATGTCATTTTGTGTGATAAAAGTTTGGGGCATCAACTCTTCACAAACAAATATGTCCAAGTCAAAATGATATGTATGTTTTTGCATAACCAGGTCAGGTCTCACAGCATTAACCTTTGACTAGAGCCAAGTAGCATTGGATAATGGCTCAATATCAGTATTGGGGACGCAAGTTATCGATTCATGATCTGAAGTTGATGGATCTTATCGATCGACTGCAGATTGATAGGAGGCTTTTGTTTAAAACTGTTTTCTCTTGTATCAAGAGGATCTTTACATACGATGAGGGCAATATGTAATATTAAAGAAATGAAATGCATCATTTTATTCTACTTATTGTGCCAGCTGTAATAAATACCAACTCAACAAACAAAAATGTTTTCTCACACATTGTTAAACTGGATATATTTAGAAGATATAGCAAATCAGGAACCTAAGTTACTAAATACAAAACGATTGGTAAAATATGGAGCACTTCTCACTTCCAATGTACAGAGATTTTAAACCACCCTTTAAAGGCAGGATATATATCTCTGATCTGCTGTCAGACTATTTACCACTTTATTTCAATTAAGTGGAATGTAGTTTTGATGTACAGGTGCTGGTCATAAAATTAGAATATCATGAAAAAGTAGATTGATTTCAGTAATTCCATTTAAAAAGTGAAACTTGTATATTATATTCATACAT